AAAACAGAAGGCGAACCGTGTGGAAAGGGTTCAGGGAGCGACCCGCACGGCTTAGAACACGCCGGGAAAGAATTGCTACAGACTAAGCACAGAGAGACACATAAAAATGACATTGAGAGTGTCAGGGTAGACTCTGAAACAACCTTGGACTGGGAGTCAAATCCACTAAAACGCAAGGTGGTGCCCGGTCAGGATCTTCTGGCTTGTGTTAGTTCCAGTCTAACAAAAGTACCCCATTTTGAAACAAATCAAATAGAGAAACGTGATGAATCCCACAGAGCGAATGGCTGCGGATGCGAAGAGCTTCATGCACCCCGACGCCAGGGGAGTTCGGGTGCCCTGGTGCCAGGGGCAGAGGGGGCGCAAGCTCTTGCCGGCGCTGGAGGTGCGGCTACGTCAGCGGGGCATGGCCCAGAGCTGAGAAGGGGCAAGGGGACAGGGGGCCTGGACTGCGAGAAAGACAGCAGGGAGTCTGGCAGCGGCCCCAGAGATGCGCGTGGGACAAGCAGACGTGCACGCCTCTTCAAACTAGAAGGTGCCATGGCCACAGCCGAGGGGCCTCCGCTCCCCAGTGAAGTGGGCTCTGTGAGAGGTTCAGGGCTGAAATGTAGAGAAATGGGGCTATGTGACACTCTCACGGGGTGCCCCTGCTCAGCTGGTGCTGACTGTGCCCGAGTGGACAGGCACACAGCTGCCGCTCAAGGTGTGCTTTTGGCAGTTCCTGTCACCCCAGGTGACAGCAGAGAAATAGCAGTGACAGGTAGTGAGGACCATGTTTTGTCACTCTCGGAAGACACTGTCGATAGATCTGAGCGCCCCTCGGAGAGGAGCTCGCAGGGCTCACCAGAGGCACTGCGCCCCCACTGTGTGCACGAGCTGTCCTGTTGCCCGGGGGCAGCGTTGGCAAGTCAGGTGTTTTCCGAAAGACTGATGGCTGGTCACGGGTGCCCAGGAGGCTGGCCGTGGACTAGCACGGTCATGGGAGACGCACCAGAAGATGAACAGATCCTTGATGGGGACCTGCACAGTCAGCCACAGGACTTCACGTTTGCTTCATTTTGGTTGGAAAAGCTGCCTTATCAGCTGCCCATGGCCGAAGATGGTGTTATTTGGGGATGGCATAATGGAGGTGCACAGTTAGTAAGTATGTTTCATCAGTTTTTAGTATGTACTGGGATATACTGATCTTTCACTTTGATTGCTTTTAACTTAAAATGAACAAAGGTTTATTCTAGACAATGGGCAGCTGTTCGAATCTTTATATAAAGCTGTGAGTTACTGTAGCATCCGTTTAACCATTTCCAAATTGGAGATGCTGAATTTAATTCACTGTTTGGTGTGTTTAAGGCAGAGCTTATGTCACCTCAGGCCTGCACTAAACCCTGTGCTGCTGGTGGTCAGACGCAGCTTCGTTCGCCCATCTTGTGTTTGTGGCCTTGCGTGCTCATGTTCGCAGGCTGCTCTGCTTGGTCTCATCCTTTCCCACCACCAGCCCCTTGCTGGGGTGGAACAAGCATTTGATCTGTTTGGATGTTTAAAGGTGACACAGTGTACGTGAGTGAAATCTGTCTTCCGCGGCTTTGTATGGCCACGGTCTGCGGCAGGTGAGACCTGTTATATGGACATAAACAAGTAGAAATTAAGTCCTGTAATTTAGGAAATTATTCATTACCCTCTCTCTTTTCTTTTCCATGCCCACATTTGGGTGTTTTGTTAGAGTTATGTTCGAGTTAATCAGTTTTGTTCCTTAAGTAGTTACGGAGGCAAACACTCTAAAATGAGGCCTATAAATCGTATGTACATGATCATTTACGAAAGTGGGCATGGCTAAGAGTTGGCCGCTAGTTCCAGTGCTTGGTACGTCAGCATAGCGTGCACACGGGCCCCGTTGCTGTCCGGCTCTTATCCCTTTAAGGGTGCAGCCCCATCATGCGGCACACCCACACACACTTCTCTGACACACTCCGTTTAAGGGTAGTGCTTTGCTTTTCAAAACTCCCGTTTTCAAAGTGCTTGGACAGACATCGTTTTAATAGTAATCTTATATAGCAGCTGTTACTCCATTTTACAAACCAAGAACGGAGGTGCAGAGACTTGATGACTCTGAAGCCAGTGAATTGCTCTGAATTAGTAAGCTTACTCAGCGGCACATCCAGGAGCAGTTCCTGCCGACTTTGAAATGAAGAGCGCAAGTGTTTCTTTCCTCACATTCTCTCTCCTGTTTTATCTTCTCCACCCGCCCTTCTCCTTCCTCTGAGAGTTACTGTGGTTCCTGCTCAGTAACCTGTCAGTGGGACCGTTCTGTCTCATGTGGAGAAAGCACATCTATGAATTGCTAGGTTATTAATATTTTTTTCAGTGGAGCATCGTGTGGGGGTAGGAGAGTTTCTTGAGAGTGTCAGGATTTGTGGCTGCTGTACTCTTCAAAGAGTCCTTTTATAAAATCGCTTCAGAATGTTGCCATTAAGGTCAACTCACTTCTGGTTCTGACCATTGCTCAGGCATGAGTTTTCAGTGGCTGAGCAAGTGAAAGGTGACTTGCCCATAATCGGGTGGAGTTCCATGTGACTAGGCAAAGGACCACATGTCAAAGAAATAAGTTTAATACAAGTTATGCGAATCACAAGAAATGAATGAATTTTTAGTGTTTTGTTTTTTGTTGATACTACAGCACTGTTTTCTAATTGCCATCATTTTCTGGGGCAAGTTCCTTAACCCGTCTCTGCCTTGGTTTCCTTGTCTGTGAAGTGGCAGTGAGTATTACCGCCTGATAGGGCTGTCAGGATTAAATACAGGCAAGTGCATAGGCTGCCCCGGCACCCGGCACTCTCCAGAGTTGGTTGTCGTGTTGCTAGCTCTTATTTGTAAGTCTCCCATCTTTCATCGTTTGTCACATCTCAGAGTATCTCTTGAATACTGGTTAGTTAACTGCTTAAAACTGTGACGTCGCCAATACTTCACGTGATTTGAGTACCAATTAAGAAGTAGTAAATCAGAAAAAGCAAAGCACGTAAGGATGTGGTTACATTCACTGGTGGCGTGAACCTCACACAAGCTGTCAAATAGTGAAAAATGTGATTTTATGTTATTATGTTCTTAATTTATTCCTTCATCACATTTCTCAAGCCCCCGTGTACTGAGTTCAGAACTGCTGGGCATCAGCGATGCAGTGGTGAGCAGGATGGACACCCAGGAGTCCTTGGGCTCGTGGAGAGACCAGGCACTGTAGCCGTGACTCGGCAGTTTACCTCCAGGGCACAGTGTGACAGTGTATGTCGGTGATGGAGTACAGTTGGCTGTGAAAGGCGCTCGGAGTGGAAGGGACCGACGTCAGCTGATGCTGGGGATTGGGGGAATGTGGCACCGGACCCGAGGTCGGGCAGTCAGTTCCCTGGGGGCAGCGCTGCGTGGGAAGGCTTGGTGTGTGCTGTTGCGCGGTCGAAGGGCCAGTTCTCCTTAGAAGCAGCAGCTACACAAGTGCTAGAAAAGGAAGGAGATGGAGACACGAGCCGAAAAACAGGCAGAGGGAAGAGGCGCGAGCGCGAGGGAGGCGCGGTGCCCGTCGGGCCGGAGTGCCTTCTGCATCGCCCTCTTTGCTGGGATGGCGGGGTCGTGTCTGCTTGTCCCAGCCCGATGGCTTGGCGCTGTGCCTGGCACTGAGTGAGCATTTAGGAAGCATTTGTTGGAGATGAGCTGGATGACAGTGCCAAACAGAGAAACTGTGCAGAAGCCGCGGCCAGGATGAACTGGGAATGGAGGTGTCAGGTGAGAAGGGAGGGTTGGTTAAAACCGGTGCCTCTTGAGTGCGGTGTTCGGAAGGAGAAGGGGGGGCCCTCCGCTCTGCCTCTTCACTGGCACCTGCTGAGGCAAAAGGCATTCCAGGGGGGCGCTCACCAAGGTGCCTGGTGGTGCGGGTACAGTGTTTATTATTCTTGCCTCCTAGGTGCGAACAAGGTAAATACCATAGTTTTAACCGCACCAGCCTCTACTGTGTTTCACAAATAGTTGTTTTTCATTGCCAGCTTTAATCGTTTCAGCCAGAGTGAATTTATTCTGTCTCTTTAAGATCGCCGGTTCACACGTGCTTTCCTCGATGGCTAACCTGGGCCCTGTGCACATTAGCAGACAGCGTCGGGAGGTATCTGCCTCTGCCTGATGGCTCCTGGCACCAGGACCTTGTCCTTCCCTTCGGAAGCTCTGACCCCTACACGGCAGGGTCAAGGCTTATTCCTGGGAAAAGGCAAATACTTTGGCCGGGTTTGCTGAACGATGTGGTGGCAGGACGGAAGTTAGTTTGGGAGCAGCTGTCCTTGGGACATCGACTTTTCTTTAGATTTGTGGAGCAGCTCAAGTTTTGTGAGAGGAGAGGGAAAGTAGAGGTGGTCGTGTGTTTGATGAGGTGCACCGAGAAAGGCCACCCCAGTCCCAGAGGAGATCGACCCTGGAGAGGGTTCTGGACAGACGGAGCAGGAGTAGAAATGCCAGGTTTGTCTGGACAGCAGGAGGCCCGTAGGCCCGGAAGTGAGTGGTCACAGAGGTGCCGCCCCCCTCCCCCCGCCCCCACTGCCAACAGACCTGTCAGAAGACCTCGGTTCTTGAAGGAACTTTCATTTTCTACGTCCTTTGCATATATGAGTGTTTGAGCTTTGTTTTCAAATTGTACCCATCTATGTTCATTTCGGATTTGCAAGTCTGCATGTTGTGTCGGGCAGCCTGGAGCAGAGACGGTGATCGGATCAGCTGTTATCTGTCAATGACGTTATCTCTGGAGAGCTTTGTCCTTAGTGGGGCCCTGGGGTCTAATGGAGAATGAAGTTGGGTTCCGAGTGTGGCACCTTTTGTTACTGCTGCACCTGCTTTCATCCCCAAAATACATGTAGATCGGCTCAGCCTTTTTAGCATAAATTATCTTAAATAAATGTATTTCAACTCTGAATTGATACGTAAAATAGCATTTGATTGGAATTTGTATCAAACGTATGTATCACATTTTTTCTCAGGTACCAACAGCCAAGGTTTCGGAGCTAAACCCCAATGCAAAAGTATGGGGGTCGCCTGTGTTACATCTGGAGGCAGGTAGTGCCGCGGACGGCGGTGTGAGCGCAGCCTGGGACCACGTGCCTGGCCGTCGCCCAGACTGCGGCCAGGAGGGTAAGTGGTGAGCCCAGTGGGGCGAGGGGCCGTTTGTGCTCCAGGCTTTATCCTTGTTTCCTTTTCATCCATCTTTAAGAAATTGTTAATGAAAATTTGTGTCCTCGTTTGTGACAGTATTTGAATAACCATCAAGTTTTTTAAAGTTGAAGTAATTGCAAATATAAGCTTTTGTTTTGTTTTAAGAGAAAGTTACTCTTCTAACTCTGCTTTTTGGGGTGAAATTTTTCTAATTACAGAGTTGGATGCCAATGGTGACAGTGACAAAAGTCATGAGAATGCAGCACTGTCAGAGTTACAGGAGTCGGACCAGACAGCCATGAGCACGTTGGCTCTGGACCACACAGAGTACGAATGTCCGCCTGAGAACAGTGACACGGGTAAAGCCACTTTACTGGTTCCTTTTCAAAGAGAGCAGGGCTCGTGTATGTCACTTCTCAAAATTCAGCGTGTCGAACCTTTCCCTGAACCACATGCCTGTCCTTGCTGCCTTCACTTCTGCTTTACATTCACTGGTGTGGACAGGGATGGGGCGTGTGGTCAGGGAGGGCATCACGCCAGGTGGGAGGGCGACGAGGCAGAGGGAAGCGTGCGGGCAGGCCCTAACGTGGACAGGGGAGGGGAGCCTTTCTCTTCGGAGCAGATGTAGAAACGCTTGTGGGTTCTGGGACACCCAGCCCACCTCTGAGTTGGTCCCTGTTGTAATCCAGAAGACCCGTCCACGTGGACTGCAGACCTGAGAGGTGGGCTGCACTCTCACTGCCGACGGCTAGGTGGGCAGCGCGAGCCGAAGGAGCAGGTCCCCCAAGTTGGCCTGTAGGGACTGAGCAGAGCAATGCAGGCGGAGTGCGTGTGTTCTCTCAGGTGACTACGGAGAGATGCACTGGGTTAGGCACGGCATGGAACGAGCGCGCCCCCGCCCCTCCTGCTGCCACGCTGCGTCCCAGCAGGGCCGTGCGCAGTGAGCAGCATGGAAGTGTCAGGCCCGTCCCCGAAGGGGTGAGCGCTGTGCAGATCTGCTCTTCAGTGTCGGTCAGCCCCTCCACTGACCTCCTCGCTCCGCCTGTATCACTTCACTGCCTTCAGAGGTGCTTAGCAGCCGCCTCAAACTTGTTTAAATGCAATTCTCTTTCTACTGCGTGCCTGTTTTTGAGACGTGGTACGTGGCCGAACACTGGACGGCAGTATGGTTCGGTCTCGCTTTTAAGTCCATGATCACGGGCTTCCAGCGTGACCTCAGCATGGCCCGCAGTGGCCCCGGAGAGTCACCCTCTTGGACAGCTATTTCACGACTTGTTCTCTCCTTATACCCAGTGCTTCGCTTGTGTATAGAGCTTAGTTAAGCATAGCCCACGTATAATAAACATCGCTCATTTAAAGCGTACCCAGCGTTTCTGTAGTGTGAAGCCCAGTGTTCAGTGCATCCTAGGGCTGATTTGCTGACACTTCCATTCCTCATTGGTTTCTCTGCCGAATTCGATACGATGTGTACATAGCCGTAAAGCCATCACCACAATCAAGATGAGTGCTGCTTTCACTCGGTGCACTGCTTTTGAGGTTCACTCGTGACATTCACAGCCCGCTCCTCTTTGTTGCTGGTTAGTATTCCATGCCATTATACACCAGTTTGCTTTCCTGTTCATCTGTTGGTAAACTTTGGGTTGTTTCCAGTTTGGGGCTATTACCGATAAAGCTCCCGTGAACATTTCAAAGCAAGACTTCACGTGATCACGCATTTCCATTTCCCGTGGGTAAACACGTGGGGCTGGAGCGGGCAGGTCGGCTGGCAGGCACGTTTGTCCGCTAAGACACGGTGAAGCCGTGCTCCCCAGCGGCCCCTCTGCGCTCCCAGCAGCCGTGCCGGAGCTCCAGCCACCGCACGTCTGCGCCAACACCGATGCGCTCAGCCTTTCCCTTTAGCCCTCCTGAAAGGCAGAGAATGGAGTCATACTGTCTTTAATTCGGATCTCCCTAAGGACCAGTGGTGTCAAGCACCTTTTCATGTGCATGTTTCTTCTTTGGTGAAGGGTCTGTCCGAGTCTTTTGCCCGTTCTCTTGTTGGGCTGTATTTTCTTTTGCGTTTTGAGGGTTCTTTATATTTTAGACATAAGCCCTTATCAGGTCATGTGATTACATTCTCCTAGCCTGTGGCTTGTCCTTTTGTTCTCCTAACAGTATCTTTTGAAAAAAGCAGACGTTAAAAAACCTTTTTCATATAGTCTAATTTATCGGTTTTGAGTTTTTGGTGTTACCTAAGAAATCTTTACTGAATGCCAGTCACAAAGGTTTTCTCCTGGAAGTCGTACAGTTTTGTTTTGCATTTGTTGGCCTGTGGACAGTTTCAAGGTAATTTTTGTTCGTGGTGTGAGGAATGGCGCGAGGTTCTTTCTCCCT